TTGTTCAGATTATAGAGGATTTGGCAGTCTCAAAATGTTCCTATTTCTGGGGAAAAAATGCTAATTTCTCACTGTCATGCTTTGTGTATGATTGCAGGAATGCACTGCCTAAAAGGCTAGAGAAAGCAGACTGTAATCACTTGGTTTTAAACCCTAGGAAACAGAAGTCCTGTCACTTTAGTACTTGAAGAAGGTTTCAGTTTCGCATCTGTATTTTTGCAATAGCAATACAAAATAGCCACAGAATGGTGACTGACGTCACACCCATGGGAAACTTTGGTATCTGTGTGTGGATGTGTCTGTCAGATTGGACAAATTAATGTAAGTAGAAGGCAGGTGTCTTAAACAGGATTTATAAATTTATTTATAATAAAAAGGAGCTATAGGGTTGAAAAACAGCTAGTGTTGAAAAAACAAAATCTGTATACTCTATTTATTCAAGGGGGGGAGTACTGGGAAACCTGCCTGAGATAGATAAGGAGCAGCCACATCTCTTGAGAATGTGTTAGGATTTCAGATATCTTCTTGATTACTCAAGAAAACAGATCAGTTTTCTGTCTGAGGATATGATGGGAAGTGAAGTTACAAACCCTATGTAGATTTAAAAACAGTTATTTTTTTCTTCTTAAGGTTTTCTTGGAGTGAGAGGGTAGGGTTTTGCAAAAACAGATAAGAGATTTCTTCTTCCCTTCCTTTCCTAGTTTCTCCCCCACTCATGAGCTGGTCTTTCATGAAAAAGAATTTTGTAGCATAGTTGGCATATTCCTTGTCATCTTTTCACTTTTATGCTTACTAGAAATGTTCTGTTTAATATCGGTAGAGGAATGATCTATATAGTATTTCATTCAACTATAAAACCTTCAAAATATGTAGGTGTCTTTATTTTAGGCGAGTGGATGATATATTTGAAGTGGTAGAAAAATTATTTGCAGCCTGTAATCTTTCATGTCCCCCTCACATTAGCTTTTTTTTATCCTCTGTTTGAGACCATAACGTCTCTGGACCTGTGGTGTATTTTGAGGTGAACAAGACCTTTTATGTGCAGACTAGACTATTGTGAAGCAAGGGCTGTGTGACATTCATTATGCTCTCAATGGAGACTTGCTGGAAGTCTGACAAGTAACAAATTTGACACATGTAAATTTGCTTCAGTGATTTTTTTCTGTAATGCTATGTTCTGTTCTCCTGAAAGTACTGAAGAGGAGGAGGGAATTGAAGGTAGCCTCAAACCCCTGTGAAAGCAGATGTAAACAGAAGTATTCATAGCTGAAAGGAAGATTTACAGCTCTCCGTTTTGTGTGATATTTTCAGGAGTGTGTACCTGTGCAACCTGTTTTGGGTGTGTATTAAACTGCACATAACTCAGAATCTCCCCTCCAGCTTCCAAGGGGTGCTGTTGGCACTGCTACAAATCCTTAATGGTGTTGACATGGACTGTTCCATGGAATTTATTTATATGATATTTAAAAAGTATAAAAATTAAAGCTCTCTAAAGTTATAGGTAATTGAGTAAACCTGCCCTGTAGTAATGCTAAATGATTCAGCTTTTTAGTTACGTCTTGTCATTTTTGTCAGGAGAGTTTGGGGTTTTTTTTCCTGTTATAAAGCAATTCAAACCTACATTTGATTGAATATTATCTTTTCTAATGGGTGGTGTGATTGTGTTGTAATGTGTTTTGTTTTGGGTTTTTTTCGTAGTTTATTTGTAAACTAGGTGCTTTAGTCGCATCACAGGACTCAACTCCCATAGGTTCATTGCTAAGGGAAACAAATCATATACTTGACCAGGAGTTGTGGCTCTTACCTGTGTCTGAGGAAGCTCGTATGCTGAACATCACATTATAGCAAATGTTTCCCATAGCATGCTCCCAAAGTCTAATGTGAATTGTTATGTTTTTCTGATTTTTTGAGATTTTTTAATTTTATTTTTTTTTTATCTTTGTTTAGGCATAAAGTGGTTGAAGAAACAACCGTAATGTGCAAAGCTGTTAGAGAAACACGTGTATTAGGCCTACAAACCTAAATGCTTATTTTATTTATTACTATTGTTTGCTAGGATGTTTTGGTTACTAGTTAAGTTCCTGGGTACAACTGATCAGTCTTTTGAGAACCTGAGGATGTTTAATGGCTGCACATTACATTCTGCATTACCAAAGAACTCAGACTTTGAAACTTAGTGTCTTAGAAAACTTTGGAATAGATGAAAAGGTTAATTCATAGGATAATCTGTGCTAAACTGCACCTTGAGAAACAACTGCTTGGTTTCTAAGACTGAATTTGTCCTGCCATAATGTGTGGATCACTGTTTATAGTCCAGTGTTTTCCACCCAGGATAACTCCACAACATTCTACTTAGTACTCTGAGGAAAGAAGTTGAGAGCAGATTATGCTCTGTGGGTATGAAGAGTTAAGGCAAAAGAAGATCAGGTTATTTGTTTTGTAGAGATTGTGATTTGCAGCTGCTGATAGGTTATCTGGGGTACAGGCTTTAGGAGTCGTCTTTTTTTTTTTTTTTTTTTTTTTGGTCTGCTTAGTGCAAATAATTCTCATTCTTAAAACTCAGGCTGTGATTTCCTCAGAATTGAAGTGTAAGCAATTTCAGAGCAGGTCAGTAGAATAGTGGAAGATCCCAAAGGAAATACCAGTTTTTGTTGTACATTGTAAGTTGGTTCTTATAACTATGCTGTGGTGACTGACCAGAGCCAGAGAGAAAAGGACTGCTATACTTTGGTGATCTTGTTTTTGAGACAGTTGATGTAGAGCAACAAAGCTGAACTGCTAAAGAAACTGAACCAAAGAGACAGGAGTGTAAGGTCAACAAATCAACATACTCCTTTTCTGGCTTCAGTGTCCCAGGTAGGGTTCCATGAGCTGCTTTCTTCCCTGTGCCTGGATACAAGAGGTCAAATGCTCTGCAGTTCACCTCACAGTTTTTCTGTTTAGAATGACTACGATTACAAAGATAAGACTCAGGTTCTGGCAGTGATGTGATTGAAAAGTAGCTGACTGATGCTTAGGGTAAATAAGACAGATGTTATGTTGCTAGGAAAAAAAATACCTTCAAAGAAGTGATCATGGTCTTGGCCTTTAAGTTCATTGAAAATGATTCTCTACTAGTTTTTAAAGTAATGTGATCCTTCAGCTGCCTGCAACACTGCTGTGTGTGGCTGTGTAAATAGTGTCCCTCTGGCAACTTGCTTTACTTGGTTCTGATGTAGACAGCTGTTGGGAAAGACTGGGACATCCAACAGATGCTGGACAACTCTTTAGAAGTACAGTTGGCAGATATTTGTATGGTACATAAACACAGAACTAGCTTTCAATGTATCCCCTCTTCTGTTTGTATAATATTAATCTTCAGAGGTTGATAAAAAAAATGAAACATCTGTTCTATTTGTGCGTTGTTACTTTGAGTCTGGTTAAATTAATATAGAAATTAAGCAAGGTCTTGACTAAAACCTGTGGCCATTTGCCTTTAGGTAGTCAATTCTGTAGGCCTCTTGCAGAAAAAACCAGATTAGATATGACTAATATTCTCTGTAAACAAAAGTGTATGTGTGTGTTCACAGTGTTTGTTAGCTGCCTAAATTGGGCTGGGTGCAGATGCAGAAACAAAGCGCTTAAGATTCCAGTATGACTGGTACGAAGATGACAGTAACTCCATGAAGTGAGATTTGAATACTCTTGAGTTGGATATCTAAAGTGTATAGTGCAAATTCCTTTCTAGGCATTTGTTTCTTCATCTTTGTTTAGTGACTATCTTTTCTGCCACATGATGTATAAATTAAGTGAATGTTTGAAGTATCAAATCAATGTTGTGGTCATTATGTTACATTAAAAACTCACCATATATCTACATGTTTCTCAGAAATCTTGTGTCATTTTGTTTCACTGAAAGGTAGAGTTTTATTATTTTCATCTGTGTATACATGGAAGTTCACTTTTCCCTGTCTGAAAGCAAGAAAAGTCTATAAAAGATACCTTCACTACATTTCTGCAAGTCACTGTCTGGCAGACATGTCAAGTTTTCCACTAGACTGTTGCTGCTGCTGTTCACTGTTTAGCGTTTGTCCCCATGAGTGTAGTGCCAGATTCAGACATACAAAGAATAGCCCATATCCAAATCATAGTTTAGATAGTTTGACAGCTGTCAAATACAATTTTTTTTTCCCCTACCTCAATGCTACAACATATGCTGCTCTCCAGGGGAGACAAAAGCTTTCTGTTGATAACCTTATTGCTTGGCTTCTGTTGAGATGGCTGAGTGCTGCTGAACTGTGTCCTAAAAATTACTGTGGCATATCAGCCTGTACAGTCACTCATGTGTCTACTGTTGGGCTCTTCCAGAATCCTTAGCGTGGTTGACAGAGCAAAAGTAGTTGGAGTGAATGCCTTTGCATGTTGTCATCATAGCTCCTCATTCACTGTTCAACTCACTATTGTATCATCATTCTCCCCATTAAGTATCTAATTACTTTAATAGGCTTTCCTGACACCTTTTTTCCCCAATTATGAAGTGGTTGCCTGATGGTTTGGAGATGAACTGGAAGAACTTACCATGCTCAGAAATGAACAACTGCCATGACAGAAGCTTCAGGTTATGGCAAGGAGCTGCAGGGCTAAGTAAAAAAGAATGGGCAAAGATTTAGGTATTAGTGCCATGATATTTCAGTGAGAAGGTAAAGGATTAGACTAAGTGGTACTGGAAGCATGATAGTTCTACCAATACTCATTAATGGAGCAGAATCTTTAAGGGAAGAAAGCTGCATTGAGTCCACTTCCTTCCTTACTCAAACACTGTTGATTTGACATTTGTGTGTGTGTGTGTTTGATTGCTGATTGCCTTTTTTTTTTTCTTTTTTAATCGTTTAATGATGATTAGGAGAAAAGATTTAGTTAATTGTTTTGATCATTCCAAGTAGATCACTTATTTTCAGTAATAAGTGTTAAATTTGTTAAAAATATTTTATTTTAATTAATTCTTATTATTGTCTTGAAAGGAGCTGACAATATCAGGAAATACTGGAGTCGTTATTACCAAGGATCCCAAGGGGTAATATTTGTATTAGACAGCGCCTCCTCTGAAGATGATCTAGAAACTGCTAGGAATGAACTGCATTCTGCTCTCCAGCACCCACAGTTATGTACTTTGCCATTTTTAATACTGGCCAATCATCAAGACAAGCCAGCAGCTCGCTCTGTACAAGAGGTATGTTAAAGTGGCAGCATCTTGCCTGTTTGTTTTTACTATCTGCACACCACTAACCCACTATTGCTTATTACCACTATTACGCTATTACTTACTTATTACTTATGACATACTAGTTAAGGACTGGCCTCAATTTCTCTTTACTGTAAGTAAGCAGACCGAGAGCAGTCCCAACCCCTATTTACTTAGTCCAGTGCACTATATATAGGCTTAGTTCTTCTGGAAAACATATAAGTAATACTTGGATAGAAACAGATCTTCTTTCACCATATTTTGCTTAAGGGTGAAAAGATGTTTTCTAAAACTACTCTTATGAAAAGCTGCTGGGACAGTGATTTTTTTGTTTAGCTTGTGTTTTTATTTGCTATTGGTTTTAATTTTGCACTATTCCATTACTCCCTTCTTTTCAACTGCTTAAAGCAATAGATGGCAGCCATAGGTTGTCTTTTTTATGTAAAAGGTTTTTCTGAATTGCTGTGTACTGATGTGAGGGCAGAGTTGCAATTCCTGTTCTGAAGTCCTTAACTAGTTCTGACTTTCCTCTTCTAAGGGGTAATGTTTTTGTCCAATTTCTAGCTACCATGTAGTAAGTTATATAATTGTTGTATTCAGTGTACTTTTTGCTCTTCATATTCTGAAAAATTCGTCTTGTCTACATTTCTATCATGTCACATGCATTGAAGAAATGCTGAAAGTTACTGTTTCTCCATGAGAAACTCTACTTATTCTTCTGAAGTTGTAGGAAGAAGTTAAAATTTGGCTGTGTGATTCTGTTCATAAATGTCATTTAAAGGACTCCTGTTCAAGATTTTGTGAAATCTGTTTGTTCAGTCAGTGCAGCAGAGTGAAAACAATTTCAGCACTTTGCTGTGTTGTTGCTTTATACTTAAATTTGATTCTTTCTTACAGGAACTTCTTTGTCTAAAATACAATTTCATACTTTCAACTTAGAACAAGCTGATCTGTAGAATAGCTTGCTATTATTACAGTACAGCTGAACATAATGTTTATGGCTTTATACCTCCTTTCTCAGCCAAAAGAAATTAAGCATATTATGTGTTAAGAAATAGAGTAAATGGAGTATAGTGATGGTTTTAATATGAAGAGATTAAATGAAATATATGTAAACTACACTGTAGAATATTTTATTAAATAAAATTTTAATTAAATTCCTCCAACAATCCATGCTTAGGGGAAAAAAAAGGAATTTGAATTTAGTATATCAAGTTACATAAAAAGGTAAACTAAAAAGAGGCAGGGGTAGAATCCACAAGTGCCTATGTCTTGTTCATATAAAAACAGACTGAGAAAGAAGTAATGAATATTTAAAGGAAATATAATATGGATTTTGATATATCCGTTTAATAATTTGGTCTAGTCTACTGTACAGCATAAAAGCAAAGCATGCATTCCTAAACCTTCCACCTAAAAAATGATAATATCATGAGACACAACTGATTTCATTTTATTATCTAAATATGCTCTATGCATTTTGGTTTTAACTTTTTTGCAGAGAACAATACAGATTACTATTTCCATCAATAAAAATGCTTTTTTTCCCCATGACTTAAGTATTTCTTATTTTACTATATTTTTCATTTTTAAAATGGTGAAATTTGGTTCCATTTTAATAACAAATATAATTTAAGAAACATTCATTGTCCAGTTTTGTAAGAATAGAGAATACAATGCCAGTTGGTTTGTTTTACAGGAAATTATGCAAATAACAGTCCCATTTTGTAGTTGAGGCTCTGTAAAGAGACTTTTGGCCTGAACTGAATTTTTTACCTAATTAGAGTTAGCATTTCTTTTCTTTTATTGGCAGTATCCTTATTTTCACTTCATTCTTCATTACCAGTTGCTTGATACCCCAGTAGGGTAGTAGATATCTATATGCTTACAATAGCATTTAAAAAGGTTTCTACTGCATGCTTTAAAAAAAAAAAAAACCTCTATCAGTGTATTATTACGGCATTGCTACTGTGAGTGTGTATGAAATGCTGCACACAAGAATTCTGTTAAATATGCTCAGCTTCTGTGTATTTTCAGGAAAAAACAAACAAACAACCCTGTGTCAGTGTTTGTCTTTGAAGTTCTTTAGTTAAGAATAGTGGAAAACAAAATTAGAAGGAAAAAAAAAAAAAAGAGGAGAGTGTCAAAAAGTTGTTACATTGTCCCCCCCCAAAATATCCTGTGTTTGCTGTATATACAAAGCAGAAGCCTTGTTGGGTCATTTTTGCCAACATTAAAATGGAAATTTCTTGCTTTCCTGAAGGCTTTGTTGTACTATTGTCCTCATTATTCAGATGTGAAATGAAAGTAAAATGATGAATCATGATTCCTTAAATCAAAACCAACATAAATAAGTATGTAACAAAAGTACTATGTTGAGCATTGAGAGTTTTATTAGACATTTTTGCTAAATTAAGTCCATTAATTATATGTATTTCCTTGCTTTTTTATGTGTCAGAAGGCAGGTGAATCACAATTGAAATTTAAAAGTATGTATGCATTATTTTCAGCAACAAATTGCCTTTATTTAGTGGATATGAAAGGACTCCTTGGGGTATAATTAAGGTAAATGTCTGAGTTAAGTGGTGCATAATAGAAAGTATAGAAAAATATTTATCTACAACAAAAATTCTTCACAAAACTGTGCAAGGGCCAAGCAGTTTCTGCAACAGATGTTAGTTATATTTATTGTTGGGAAGTGCTGCTTCAGTTTTTCAAAATGTTGTATTTTATTTAATGTGTTTTGTTCCATACATTGCTTAGGTAAAAGTGATTTTGTAGAAGCAGTGTGCTGTAAATAATAACCAATGTCATGAATGGTTCAATTCACAGCTATAAGATCTATTTGCAAAAATATCCGGATAACTTGTTTAATTTACAAAATGTAATTTAACCTAATTCATTTTGCATAATATACTTCATATTATTGAAGTGAGCAGGGAAAATTATAGGAGAAGCCAAGTTGAAATACTAATCAGGCAATGTAATACTTTTTTTTTCCTGAGTTCAGTTGCTGGTTGGCTGTTTCCTAGTTATTTTGGTTTTAAAATTAAATCAAGAAAGTATTTTATTGTAGAAACTATAAATAACAATGTCCCTCTTATTTCTCTTATATAACTTCTATGGCATTCATTCCATCTTTCTATGTCAAAGATATTTGTAAGTGGTTTTGTTTTTCCTGTGACAGTAGCACATATTTAGATGTTTTCAAATATCTGCTAGGTGATTTCAACTGAGCCATGCTGAAATAAAGACTGCATATTAACCAGACTATAAAGCTCATTCAGTTGTATTTGATTCAATTGGTTTGCTACAAAATAACTTTGGTTTACATTAAAATCACAGTAATGAAGAATTAAGCATATGTAAATCAGTACTGACTGTAGTTTTGGAAACTTTCTGAAATAGTAAATAAAAATAGTTACAAGTGAAAAAAAAAATTAGTTACTCAGCATGTGGGAACATGGTCGCATATCAGTTTGACCACGGTTTCCAAAATACAAGGTGCAATTCTAAAACAGTGTCAAATGATATATTCTTTTAAATAAGTATCCTGCTGATGAAGTGTACTTTTGCCTTTTCATCACAAAAATACTTTCTATAATAAAAACTGGTTTTGATTAGTCAGATTTCTGTTACAGACTTAAAATATTGCAGGAATTGATGGTGATAAAAGCACTTTAAATTGCTTTGCAAGGGAACAGCTGCATTACTGCTTATCATGATTATCAACTTGTTGATTTTTATTTTGGAATGTGTGCTACTTCGTGTAATGGCATCAGAAGCTGGATATTGCAGTGGATTCCTGTGACTTGAAACAGTGTGCAAACTGAGAGTCACTTTATTCCCAGGTCAGAGTGATATTTAGGAGCTGCAGATACCATACGCTGAAAGTTTTCCATAGCCACTGTGTTTTAGAAGTAGGCTGTGCTGAGCACTTGTCTGAATCTGTTGAGGACTTCTGGAAGCCATACAGGACTGGCCAAAGGAGAAACCAAATCAAATTAGATTTTCCAGTTCAGTAGTGAAGCAGCTACATATTCAGCAGTTTTTGGGGAGTTTCTTTTTTTGTATTTAAGGCTGTTTTTAAAATTGCAGTTACACTGGATGATCATTGTAGGCCTGTTCCAAGTGAACTTTTCTAAGACCATCTATGTGAAGATATTCATAGAGTATAAACTTTTGGTGTGTTTTCCTTTAGTCATCCAAAAATATGGGCAATTAATACGTTTCTTTCATATATGTAAATTGGTGACCACTAGTAGTAGGAGAAATCATTGGAGATATGTTCTAAATTTTCATTTAAAAATGCTAGAGCCTTTTAATATAGACTTACTAGAGAACAGTGAATCAAAAGTCTTCTCAGTCTTTTTTAAGGTTATATTGTTTAAAATATTGTTGTCAGGAAAAAAATTGATTTGGAAAAGTTATGCTGATCATGAGTGCTGTCTTTTCGATTGCATACGAGGTCTTGCTTAAAAATTGAATTGATGTGTGTGTGAAACTCCACTGGAGAATCATTCCCATTTTCCCGTTTCTTTGATAGAGCAAGATTAAAAAATGCCTTTGAATTACAAATAGTATTTTCAAAAGCAAGTGTGAGAGGTTCATTGCATATTCACATAGATTGTGATGCATTTATCCATTTGAGAATATTTCAAGACATATGGATTTTGAATTGCAGAGAGTGTTTAATTGGATTTTCTGGAGGGTGACTCTCCTTATGAAAAGAACCATCTTAGGGCTATGAGGGCTATTATGTATTAGTCTGCCAATTTATTTTCTGTTGTTTATGTCTAGAAATAATTTCATAGATAAACAATGTCTTCTTGAAGTGTTAAGTATCTTAAAGCTAAATAACCATTGCAGGAGAATGTTTGGGTTTGCCAGCATCTGCAGAGGCTCTTACTGGTCCTGAGGATCTGGAGTATATTAGAAACTGGACTTTTTGGGCCTACCAGTAGTCTAAGTTCACTGCATATTGTAGC